AATGGTTGACATATTACACGTTGTGTATATATTGATGAATTTGGAGACTGTTTATTGCTTAAAAAAAGAATGGATTGCATACAGATCAATCGATAACTTCTTGTTTTATCCTGAAAGTAATTTAAATAAAAGTTACCATAGCTTAGAAATTAGAAATATGTTTTAAGGTCGTACGAACGTGTCCACCCATGTTTAATTCTTGAGATATGTTTCATTTTTTCTTTAAGAATGGTAAATAGTTCTTTTTCAGTCTTTTTTAATCGGCTAAGGAAATTTGCTTTCAAAATGAATATTATGATTCTCTTTTACATGAATGAGGACCAAATGTGATGCGCTACGTGATTTGTTTAATTCGATCTTCATATGAACATGTGACACAACATTTCGTAGAAAAGAGTATTGTTTCAAAGAACAGCTTGTGGATCAAGACAACAAGCTTGAACGTTAAAAAGCACGAAAGAATAAATGAAGACTTATGATTATTCGTGATGAGAACTCTATTTTCGAAAAATTTTGATGATGGTGTACAAAACATTCTTCGAAATCTAATCCAACTGCAAGTTTGTTCGTGCTGATGTTAATGATGGTATTCTTATTAAATAAAAATGAGGTTGAAAAATCTAGAATGTATTGACGTATTTTGTGCTTGAAAATATACAGATGAGTTCTCTAATATTGAATATAATTTTTATAAGAAAATATATCATTCTTTCAGAAATACTACTTCTATAGTAAATCGATGGAGAATTGTCTATCAGCATGATTTATTGTAGAAGAAAAAATACTGTGTTCAATGCTTGGTGGGAACATTGACTAGGTTTATTCAAATGAGAAAACCTTTAATGAATAATGAGATTTACTTTTGAATGAAAAAAGCAAGAAGTATTTTATCATTCAATGAAAGATTTTTTTCTCACTATCGCCTCTGTCTGAACGTATGACACGCATCAAGTCATTCAATTATAATGCAGACAAGCGCTGAAAGATAAAAGAAAAGAATTTATTTGATAATAATGGCAACCATTATCATTTCTATTCAAGAAATATGAAATAAAATAAATAAAAATTATAATTCGTCGCAGGGCAAGAATTTCTTGAACTAGTTTTTCTAAACAAGTAAATGATTATTAGAATAGTAAATATTAAAAGTTCTTATATGTTACAAAAATCGTCTCCTACATCTGTTAATAAATAATTTTTAGTTCTATTAATAGAAATGGTTTCTTTCTATCACAAATATTTAGTCTTAAATGGATACGGATATAACTCTACTTTCAAATATTTGTATTTGATGACTAATCTTTTTTTATATTTCAATGACTATTATTTCTATGACAGAGAATATGCAGCGAATCGCGTCACCACATGTGTCGTCTAAGATATGTACAAACTCAGAAATAAAACGGTTGCGATATTCCTTGTTCACTGAAGTAATTAATATCAACCTTCTTGCTTTTCAATAAGAAACAACTCTTCTGTAACTAAGTTTTAATTATCATCGACTTTAGGATTGATAAATCAAAAGTAAAAAAATCTATACGACGATTCTATTTAACTACGACTTAGATAAATTCAAATCGTCTTTTTTATATAAAATGAAGTAAAAATTGTTTTCTTTTTATCAAAAATACTAAAAGAACATTATCATGAATATACTAACTGTACTAAAAAGCAGAACAAAGTTGAAGTGAAACAGAACATTAAAGCACATTTAACACTAAGGTAAAGGAAATAGGCATACATTCTGAAAAACTGAGTAATTGTTTTTTTCAAAACAATTTTGAATTTTTCTCTACGAACATTGATTTCAACAGAATCTCTACACTTTTACCTTATCAGATCAGTTTCATTATATTTCAAATTGCAAGTCGTCTTCTTACGGCCCTTAAGTGCTCATATTATCATCTCTCAATCAAACTTGATATTATTCAAAGATAATTAGTTCAATACTTTCTCCAGTTAGTTAAAAAGATTTTAGAAAAATTTTCTTTATATTTTTCATACATTTCTTGAAAGCATACCGATAATATTTTTTAGCATACAAGTTAATCGCCTCTTTATCATGTCTCCCCACACCAAATTGGAACGAGTTCAAATGCGTCTCTTGCACTTGCAGAAGCAAGACAAAGGCCAAAGAAAAAAAAAACTTATTTCTACGTAACAGCAACTGGTTATTGCTGAAACTAAACCTAATAATTTGAAAAAAGAGTTATGTTTCTCTTAAACCTAATTATATTTTGTTGAAACCCTAAAATACAAATCAATTACTGCCAGATTCGTTTGCTGCTCATCTCGACGAAAAAATAATAACTCCCCACCTAAAACTAATACTCCAGTACATAAGTAAAATGTTCTCAAGTGATAAAAATTGCGAGATTTACTTCATTTTTATGCTCTTATAGAGCAATACGACGAAAATTGAAAAAAATTCTCACATTGATAATAACATTTGACTTATAGATTTCTTTTTTGATTCATCAGATACAGACGTTTCTTCTGAAATAAGAATTTCAAATAATGTGATTGGTATATGTATGAATTAGAAGGTTTAATAATAATAGATGATGATATTGTATTTGAATATACACTTTATGAAATTAGACATTTAATGAAAGAAAAAGAACAACATACAAGAGTAAGATAAAAAATTTTCAATTTTTTAAATTAATAGATAACAATGGGTAATTGTTTATATCTATTCTAATCTAAGACCAAGATTGTTATTTTTGTATAATTAAAAAAAAAATCAACAAAAACAAATTTGAGATAAAAGAGATTTCAATATGATTATTTTTTTCGACCACTTGATATGAACTATCGATAAAAACGACAATCATTCGTAAACTGTTCAAATCTTCAAATTGATTTCTGTTTCTTTATTTCATAACATGAATCATATTGTGTTTGGGTTTTTTTTTCTACTCAACAAATAATTTTCAAGAGAAACATTTACTCGATCTCATAATAGAGAAATTCATTTTTATTTATTAAACGAAACAATCAAAATGCAAAAGAAAACATTGAAAATAAAGCTTTTGCATGGTATAGAGATATACATAGTTTCATATTCAAAAATGATTATTGTCATGAAAAAAAAATGAAACTGAAGTTTATATTGCTTCTCTCTGCAAATAAAAAATTTTCCGCACTATTTAATGTCATATTTAATTACACAACTACATTAAGATTGTTTTTTTTTCGATTGTCATACAAATAAAAAGGTTCAAATCAAATCTATTTATTAAAAAGAAGTTCAATTATTCTTTCATTTCGTAAATTTCTATTTCCGTATACAATATGTGAAAAATTTTATTGCATATGCCCAGTTTGAAAACAAATATCGAAATTGAATTTGGAAAGTTTTCAAAGACTTCCAGAATCATTTCTTTACTTGATATGTGAAAGTGATCACATAGAGTGATATTTGATGTAATTCTTCATTATCCTGATTTACATTTGAATGGCATGTCATCAATCGAAATGAATCACTACATAAATACAGAACATCTGACTGATAACTGTAGAAATGGAACGTTTATTTCATACCAATTAATGAGTCTTGAGAATAAAAAGATGAATCGTTGATAAATGAATGAATGATCGTCCATTAATCAATAGTGTAAAATGATCATTAGGCCAATCAAACCAAATCGTATATAAGGAGTGTATGTCACTATGAATAATCATAGTCTGACGAAGATAAAATTCGAAACGCGTTACTATCTTTATATAATTTTTTTTTCTCTATCGAAATAAACTACTTCTTTACATTTCCTCCATTTACGTGCTTCCATTTTTGATCCATTTCTTTGATTTGATTCATTCAAATCGTTTTGCCCAAACAATTCCTTTTTTTTTTCTTTTTTTTCTCTTTTTTTCATTCAAACTCCTTTCGCAACTCATCTTATCCTGTTTTGACTATTCGGTTCAAAAAATAAAATTGTTGAATAATATACTTAGTTCAAACATAACCTTTTCTTTTGCTAATTGACGAATCGAACCGAATATCTTCTATTACTGTTTCTCCTTCTTAAAATCACTTCATTGATCCTACCATTCGGTTCAAAAAATAAAATTTGTTGAATAATATACTTAGTTCAAACATAACCTTTTTTTTTTGCTAATTGACGAATCGGACCGAATGTCTTCTATTACTATTTCTCCTTCTTCATCATCTTCTTTTTCAGCTTCGAGTAGACCAGATTTCATGTCCGCTACTCGTCCTCCAAATCTTGCAAATCATAAACCAGTAAAGCCCTCACTCTATGGAGGAGGTCAACGTAAGTACAATCATCTTCATAAATTTCAAACAGGTACTACAACTACATGGTCTGGCTACACAAATTATACTGGAAAACCATTGTTCAATTCCAATCGACATACTAATCTTCATTCAAAAAATTCAATTAATGTTCAATCAAAACCAACTATTTCACATTTATCGAAAGATAAGAATACACCACAACCCATGAAACTTATGTCAATTAATCCAAATGATATTTTATTTCGACAACCACCACGAAAAAATACTGTTTCAATGCAGCAAGCACAACAAATGTATCAACATCAACAACAAATATCAATAAACATTAATCCTGATCAATATCATAAAAACACAATGAACCATCAATATCAATCTCGATCTCGATCTCGATCAAATCATCAATCTCGTTCTCGATCTCAATCAAATCATCAATATCAATATAAATCTCAATCAAATCATCAATCTCGTTCTCGATCTCGATCAAATCATCAATATCAATATAAATCTCAATCAAATCATCAACATCAATATAAATCTCAATCAAATCATCAACATCAATATGAATCTCGATCAAATTGTCAATCTCGTTCTCAATCTCGATCAAATCATCAATATCAATATGAATCTCGATCAAATTGTCAATCTCGTTCTCGATCTCGATCAAATCATCAATATCAATCTAGATCAAATCATCTTCATCATCAGAAAAACAAACCATATGTTACTCATCAAACACATTATAACAACAGACGTTCTCAAGATTCACAAAAAAAGACTCATTCTCATTCGCGATCTCCTTCATATAACAGAAAATCGTTACTACTCGCATCAAAGACTCAATCGAAAAAACTCATACATGGAATAATTTTATCTGATTCAATGGCATCAAAATGTCGGATGTACAAAGTTAATATACCTAATGTAATTAATGTTCAATTAATTGCTAGATCAGGATGCAATTGTGAACAAATGGCAGACTGGATGGCATCAGTTGAAGGTAAAACAAAATTAAATAATACTTCTGTGGTTCTTTTTTCTTTAGGAACAAATGATATAGCACAACTTGGTCTTGATCTCACATTAAAACGTTGCCAATGGCTTATTGAATATACACGTCGAACGTTTCCTACCATTAAAACAATCGGATGGATGAAATTATCACCACGAACAAAACCTTCACGATTTTTTTCTGGAAATCAAATTGCAAATCTTCATCGTGCATTTAATGAACGATTACATCTATTATCAAAAGAAAGAAATATTGATATTATTGATGCACAATTAAAAATAAATGATATAAGAATAGAAGATGGTTTACATCCAACATTATCATCTGGTCGACAAAAATTCGAAAATGCTCAACGACAATGGTTTGCTCGTCAAGCAATGTACCTCTCTACATATATCGACCAACAACATACTAAACATACAACAACAACAACAATGAACAACAACTTGATCAATTTGACCAATTTACAACAACAACAGCCAAGAACAACTACCGGGCAAGTACAACAACTTAATTCCACACAACCTTTTATAGTAAATCATAAAAAAAGTGAGAAAGTTTTTCGTCATCCATGTTTACCAAGTCAACAATTGATAAAATTTTATCCCCACAAATTAAAACATCCAAATCAACTATTTCGTGATAATCCACCACCAGAAAATATCGATAAAGATAAAGTCTTTCTTATTGCAAATTTATATTATCAATATAGACATTTTGAAGATGAGGCTAAAAAATGGCAAGTATATGAAACCGCAGCTTCTCGTAAAGAAACACAACAACAAAAACGAACGATCCATTTCTATCATAGTAATTATCAGAGAGAAAATAACTTCACCAACAATAACAACACTATAGATCGAGAGATCCCAGAAGTTCGTACAGGCCCTACTTCACCAAGATGGTCAGGAAACGAAACATTCGACAGTGAAACTAATGGCGAAAACAAAGAGAACGAAAGTAAAAAACGGAAATTAAGCGATACATCATTATCACCGATTGGCTTGAATGTTCGAACAAGAGAGGATATGAGTGGTACACAAATGGATGGAGAAGGTGAGCAGGAACAAGTGATCGAACATTACGATCCTCTGACACAGTCAACACCAACTGGACATAATCTGAATCAATCTCCAAATTCATCAATATATACACAACGTGTAATATGTCAACCATT